GGACTCTCAACCACTGCGCCACCAGGGAAGCCCTCTTGGTCCTATTTTTGACATCTGGACTGATGACATAAAAACAGATAATCTGCAAATCCATAATATGCATTATATTATCATTAAATCCTCTTGTTGATTGTCTGCATGGAGTTATTCATTTTACTTCCTTTGGCTCATTTACTCTGCTAATCAGTCAATTCAATCAAATAATTGGACTAAGTGTTTTCAAACAAGTAATATAATCGGCTTCTTCTATTGACTTTTATGGAATCACCATTTAATATTAGAAAATTCCATAATTCCATTTCCATAAATAAGTCAGTAACCATTCTGCTTTATTGGCTTTAGAGGAGATCTGTACTTTGGTCATTGCTGAGGTATTTGCAGAAGACTCTGGGTGCTTCACCTGTACTGCAAGCAATAAATACGGCACAGTGTCAAGCATTGCACAGCTAGATGTAAGAGGTAAGGGCTCTTTCAATGCCAGAACAGTTTAGACTATGACTTTGATTATGAGTATGGACAATGTATATTACCCTCTCTTACTGCTTTTCATATGAAGCTAGCTTGGCTCTCCTAAAATTTTTTGAATTATTGAGGAAAGTGTCCTTGAATAGAATCCAGTTTTCAATTTCTCATTGCATTTATCACCACCACCCCAGTTATCCTGCTGTTATTTATTATACTCCCAAAGAAAACATCTCCTTGATCTTACCTAAACTTCTAAAATTCTTTCCAAAATGGTACTTAGATTTTTTTAGGTTTTTTTTTTGTTTTTTTTCCTGTATCCTTACCATTCTTTAATGTCCCAGATTGTGTTTTCTGTTTTTGACAAGCATTTCCATTAGCACATTCGCCTGGGTTGGATACATGCCCTGTCTCAGGGTTATAATCCTATCTCAGTCTTGTTGAGTAAGGCTAACATCTCAGGTCCTGTTATCATCCTTTCAGGAAATGAAGACCCCAGAAACAATGGGTCTCTTCACTCAGTCAACTCTACCACCAACCTGGCTGTTATTGAGCAACAGTCATCCCCACCCAACCCAGAGCCTCCCTCTGTGGAACAACTCCCTAAACCCAAACTGGAAGGCGTTCTGGTGAATCACAACGAGCCCCGGTCCAGCTCAAGGATCGGGCTCCGTGTCCACTTCAACCTGCCTGAAGATGACAAAGGAAGTGAAGCATCCTCTGAGGGTGGCATGGTGACCACCAACCAGACCAGGCCTGATTCCTTCCAGGAGAAATTCAATGGACAGTCAGCAAAAATCCCTGAGCCTTCCTCGCCCGTCAAAGAGCCCCCTCCGGTTCTGGCCAAACCCAAACTGTAAGTAAAAATTAGAATGGATAACCAAGAGTGCCTGTGACCTTCTCTGACTCTGCCCTTCTTAAAAATGATGGAGCTAAAAAGGGAAATTATGAAATGAGAAAACACACATTAAATGCTTTGTAAATCATAATCCTTACATCAGTGTAAGTGTACTATCACTTTCATCCTTACTATTCACATTCTACCTCCAAGAAATGTTACTCCTAAACTAGCTCAAAAAGATGTCTAACATTAGAGGGCTCCAGGTGAAGCACTTCTACACTCTTCTTATAAAGCCCTTTCTCATGTCTAATAATCTTTACAGTGTGAAATTTCATCTTTCTATTCCCCATTTCTGCTTTAACTTAAGTTTTTGTAGTCATTAGAGAAAAGATACCTAGTATTTTTTAGTTAGTTCCTTGATATGGCTAGATATGCTGTAGTAACCACAGGCTTCATATAAATGTAATGGGTTGAAATTACAAAGGAAGTGAAGCATCCTCTAAGGATGGCATGGTGACCACCAACCAGAGTCACCTCAGGAGTCTGAGGCAGTTGTCACCCAAACCCTCCAGAGAGCATTCATCAGAGTCATGTTGCAAAATTTAATGTGCATCCATAGGATACTACTATTATGTTCTGTCTGATCCACACATCAAAGTGATAAAAATTACATTTATAACTACATAAACCTTTAAATATCAACAATAAAATCTACAGTAGTAGCACTCCCATCGTGTGTTTCTCAGTGCTGACATTCATTGGAAGCAGTTCATGTTGCTTAGTTTTATATTTTTCTCACTAACACACAAGGTGAAATTCTGGGCATAAAATTAAATGTTACAAAACATGCGGGTCACATCCAGAAATATCTCTGTCCCCTCAAAGTTCTGCCAGTTACAGGAAATAGGAATCTACTTAAAGTAAGAAGAAGGGAAGAGGTTATTGTAGGGATATAAGCAGCAACGGGCAACAAAACACAGCCAGGTCCTGCACAGAGAAGGAGAAGCAGGGAGTTAAGAGCTAGGATCACATACATGGTCAGTCCAGCCTCTGTCCCCTGCTCACACTCCGTCTTGAGCACCTCCTTGTTTCCTCTTTGCATATCCACTCTACTCTTCTCTCTTGGAAGACTCATCAATTCATATCTGGCCCATGATGGCATGTCTTGTCACGATTTGTGTCAAGTTCCACTGCTAACTAAATCGTGCTCAGCAGCTCAATTCCAAATACCAATCAGCCCAGCCTCGTCAGGTGCAGAGCACTTACATTTGGAGGGAAGAAGAGTCAAATGGATCAAATCAGAACTGTGTGTGAAGGCAGTTCGCAGAGAAAGGAGTCGTGAGAACAGGTAACCCCAAACAATCAATTGCCTCCTTTGCAGGGCCTCCTCTTACCCAGGGACTGTTTGGGGGCTATTAGGTATGTCAGTTAGGATTAGGTTTAGCTTCACGTTGCGGAAAGCCCAAACTAATGGTGAGTTAAACACATGAGGGTTTAGTTTTCTCTCAAATAAAGGAATTAGATGGGCAGTCTCAGGCTGTTATGATGGCTCCATAGTCACTAAGAACCCAGTCTTCTGCTCTGCCATCTTTAGCACTGGCTTCTTCTCCAAGTGCCCTCCGAGATGGCTGATGGTGGTCTAGTCATCCTGTCTGTATTTCAAGCAGCAGAAAAGGCAAATTGGTAGAAGTCCAATTACTCTCCTTTAAAGGAGCCTTCTTAGGACTTACCCAAAATCACCTGCTTATATCTCATTGGCCAGAACTTAGTCACATGGTATATTAAGTACAAAGGAAGCTGGGAAGTGTGGTCTTTAGCTGCACATGTTGCCTCCATGAGTAAAATCAAGTTCCTTTACAAAGGGGAGAATTAAGTAGTCAGCCAGCAGTATCTACCACATGAAACTTTCAATGAATATAAAAATTCTTTCTACTAAATTATGTAATGACACCCTCTAATAATCCAGTCCTCAGCAGTATATAATTCTTTAATATTTTTTGTCTTCCTTAAATTTTCACCTAATTGTGTGAATATAGGTTTGTATTAGTAGAGGTATGAATATGCGTGTGCATAATCACCCCTCTCTCTCTCACTCACACACACACACACACACACCCTTTGTGAATCCACATGCCTACAAAGTCTTCTTACTGGTTTTAAGCTTTTAGGTTTTATGTTAAAATATATTGACTCAATAATCGTGAGGATACAATTTTCTGCTTGTTCCTTCAATTTGCCATTCATACAAAAAATAGAATTCTTATAGATCTTAAAACTGCAACAGAGAGGGAAGCTGTCATTTTTCAACACTGTATCATCAAAGCCTAGATAATTCAGACTTTGACATTTTCAGCTTGAATATTAAGCTATTTAGAGAAGTGACTCTTCATCCTGGCCACACTCTAGAATGAAATGTGGAGCTTTTGAAAAATATTTATGCCTTCCATCCCAGTTGAATGAGAATCTCTCCACAGATTATTTTAATGTACAGCCAGGTTGGAAAGTACGGGTGTAAAGTTGGAGAACCTGAGTTACAACCCTTTATCACCCCACCCAGCCCCATACACACACCCCTCCACAGCCAGGAAAAAAATAGAAGAATTAACATTTAAAGTGAGTAAAATGTCAGACTAAAATCAGAATGTACTGGGTAAGCCTATGCTTTGGGGCAAGTGTTTCTTTAGAGCAGTGGTTCTCAGTCCTGGACGCAGACAAGAATCACCCAGAGCCTTGCTATTCAAAGCACTGGCATCACCTGGGAACTTGATAGAATCACAGATTCTCGTGCTCCACTCAAGACCTACCGAATCAGAAACTCTGGAGGTGCGGCCTGGAAATCTACGTTTTAACAAGCCCTCCAGAGGGTTCTGAGGTTCACTAAAGTTTAAGAACTGACCCACATTTAAAAAGATTATAATAACTATGCCTGGATCCTTTCCCAGGCCAACTGACTCTCTGGCCAGTGGTGCCTAAATCAGTAAGGTTTGTCTTTTATGCTCTCTGGGTGATCTAATGCACAACCAGCATAGTTACCACTGCCAAAACCACAGCTAAAAGCTGACTGCAGAGACATATTTACCCAGAATTAGTTATCCTAATCAGCAATGTGCTAGCAAATGTTTTAACTGCCGGCAGAGGCGGGGAAGCCCTGATTTGTAGCATTTGCCAGTTTCCTCCCACCATGGCTGATTTCGAGCTACTAAAGAAAAGTCATTAAACTGGGAACTGGGATGAGGTGTATACAACCTGCCCTCCACAGCCATCGAGAGCTGGCTCCAGCACACACTGCCCCAAGTTGTTGTTGCCAAAATTGCTTTCAAAACTATTTGATACAGTAGCCCAAGTTGTTCTGTTGTGTTTGTCATTAAGCCTTGACATTTTATCTCAACCATTTAAAATCCCTAAGAAATGGACTTGAGGACACGGGGAGGGGGAAAGGTAAGCTGGGATGAAGTGAGACAGTGGCATGGACATATATACGCTACCAAACGTAAAATAGCTAGCTAGTGGGAAGCAGCCGCATAGCACAGGGAGATGAGCTTGGTGCTTTGTGACCACCTAGAGGGGTGGGATAGGGAGGGTGGGAGGGAGACGCAAGAGGGAAGAGATATGGGGATATATGTATATGTATAGCTGATTCACTTTGTTATAGAGCAGAAACTAACACACCATTGTAAAGCAATTATACTCCAATAAAGATGTTAATTTAAAAAAAAATCCCTAAGAAATTCTTTTGTATTCCGGAAACCACATCAAGAAACATCCTTATAATTCTGAAACTCTAATTTTCTTACAAATCTTGAAACTGATATTTGTAGTTCAGAAACTGAAAAATATAATAGCCACCATTTATTGATCACTTATCTGATTTAGGTGATTTATCTATCAATTCTCACAACAACATGAAGAGGTATTACTTACTCCTATCTTACTTATGAAGAAATCAGGGTCAGAAAAATCTAGAAACCTCCCCAAACCACACACATAATCAGTGGCAGAGCCACGATTAGGACCTAAGTCTATCTGTCTGCAGAGGGCATATTCTTGAGCATCATGCTTGAGCTAAGTTGTGGCAAAAGAGAAGATATTTTCAGGGAACCCAGGAGAGTTGATAATCTACAGAAAGAAAACTGGGTACAAACCTGTTTCAGAAATCCTCATAGCAACAAGAAATGAGCAGCTGAGCTTATAGCAATTTATGATAGGCGTTATTTTGAATTAGAGAGGTTGCTCAGGGTTTTGTATGCTTTGTAATTAACCTTTCCTTCCTTTATTCTTTCATTGCACTTTGTACCTTCATTATTAAATAGTAAGTTCCATATGTTACCTGTAAATAACCACTGGGTATTTGTATTACATATATGTATAGTAAGGTTTTTGAGCCCTGAATAGCTCATACTATCCCAGACATGGTTGTATCTCCTACAGTACCTAGCAAAGTAAACATACAGAAGATTCAATAAAAGTTTGTTGAATACTGGAATTGACACCTTGCCCTTATGTCATGAATAAGCAAATTGAAACAGCTGTTTTAAATCCCTTCTGAAACAAGACAGTTTAATAAAATTTGGGGAAAAAAACCCTGTCAAACAAAAGGAGACATTATTCTCAAATGAGTTCTTCCAGAATCTTAGATAATCAAAACTATTCGATGCTGTATCTCATATATCATTATGTTTAAAGTTTGTGACCCTCTACGATCCGATATACTGCATTAAATGATAAGGGCTAACATGCTGTTTAAAGTCTTACTTAAAATTAAAAGCTGGTTTTTAGTTTTCATTCAATGGGAGCTAAAGGAAAATAAGAATCAATCAATACGAAATGACTTCCTGGCCCCTTTTTTTCATCCTTATCTTTCTAAGATTACTTAGTTTTCATATACTACTTTTTCTACTTCCATAACCACAATAAAACATTTCTGCAATACCATCAAATTAAAAGTTACTCAGACTACAATACAAACATGTCCTAAAAACCACATGGCATTTTCTTTACGCTACAGTAATCACAGAATGGGACCTGCCAAATATGAGATCCATTAAAAATTTAAAGGTTTTATATTTTCATGCCATTGGGAAAGTTAACACCAGCAGAAACGTTATTGTATATATTTTTCTAAGGATAATCTAACAAAGATATTTCTGCTTCTCTTGATTGCTGAATCTTTCATCTATGATGGAATGAAAAGATTTAATTAATTTTAATTATGTTACTTTATTCTCTCAGCTTAAATACTTACTTCTAAAAGGGAGGAAGAAAGTTACTGTGCCAAGTGGCTATACTTCTAAATTCTTAGTTTTCATAGTTGAAAAAAGAGTCGCAGAGTATGTAGCATTTGACAGCAGTCATGAACGTGGAGATAGGTCTCTACTTTGTGAAGTTACTTTTCCATATACTGTGTATCAGAAATGTTAATGAAGGCAAGAGAAAAGGTCTTAAACTCCAAGATTTTTTTTTAAAAATTATGACTATATTCAATATCCTGTGATAAACCATAATGGAAGAGAATATTTAAAAAAAAGAATGTCTCTATGTGTATAACTGAGTCACTGCTGTACAGCAGAGCTGGCACAACACTGTAAACCAACTATACTTCAATTAAAAACAAAATTTTTTTTAAATCAAAATTTGGAGAACTTTCTGCCTCAACTTTATTGCTGCTGGTGTTGACTTTCCCGATGGTATGAAAACATAAAACCTTTCATTTTTAATAGATCTCATGTTCAGCAGATCACCTTCTATGTTCCAAAACATATTTTCAAAGAACATAAAACCACGGTGGGCTTGAAGCACTGTGGTCTCACTTGTGGCTGTTCCTATGGTTGTTTATTCAAGAATAGATTCTCCTAAACAGCAAAGTTTGACAGCCCTGACAACTTTATGCATATATGACTTTTGGACACTTTCGTTTTCCATTTTCTTATTTTAAAAAATTAATTAACTGTTTTGTTAAGAGGAAGTAAATAGACTGTGGGACTTAAGGCAACTCATATAATGCTTCTGTGAGTCAGGTTCCTATAAATGGAGAAAGCGCTTTTTTTTTTCTTTAGGCACAAGAAAAGTCTAAGTAACGTTTATAACTACGGTGACCATATAATCCATCGTTCAAACCATGATATTTTTGAGAGTGAAAGAGCACTATTAATAATCATGCCAGGAAAACAGGCATAAAGCAGGACTGTCTAGAATGAATCGAGACATATGGTCACCTTCTCTATAAAGCTTTGTTGTCAGAAGAGGATGAGAAACACCAAGCCACATCCAGCTGCTTTGTTAAAGTTTGCTCTAAAATGAGGCAGAGTGAAGAATATAGCACATTCTCAGGGAACTCAGCCCCCTTTAGTAACTCACATCAGTATGTAGCTCAGTGCCTTCTGTCCTGAAACAGAGATACTATCTGCTCATCTCAGAACTTTGAGCACTTCCAACAAGAGGACCATTTTTCTATTTCTTCTAATTTATAACATTCTAAAATGGGGCTGCTGTGTTGCCCAACTCCAGGGTCACAACACATAGAACACAATGTGAATGACGCCTCTTGGAGTTGTGCATCATGGTGGACTTTCCCTTCTTCCTGGCAATCAAACAGATTTAGAAAGAAGGAGAGACAGGGACTTCCTTGGCGGTCCAGTGGTTAAGACTCGCCCTTCCAATGCAGGGGGCACGGGTTTGATCCCTGGCCAGGGAAATAGATCCCACGTGCCCAAATCTGATCGGCTGGTTTCTGGCAACACTGATTGTGTGTTCTTAATCGGCATCAAACAGTCAACAGCCTGTTTATACAGACTGAGGCGATGGTGACGGATTTCTCTTCTCTCTCCCCACTCTTGTTTTGCGTGCAGAGATTCCAGCCAGCTACAACAGCTTCACAACCAAGTCTTACTGGAACAACAGCAGTTGCAAAACCCATCTCCTAAGGAGTTTCCTTTCAACATGAGTGTTTCGACCTCCACTGCTGCCCCAGCGGTGACAATGTCCGGCAAGCAGGTGAAGGCCCCTTCATCACAGACATTCAGCTTGGCCCGGCCAAAGCACTTCTTCCCCTCCACAAGCACGACCGCAGCCACCGTGTCCCCTTCCAGCTCTCCAGTGTTCACCCTGATCAGCACTCCTCAAGCCATGCAGAGGACAGTGAGCAAAGAAAGCCTCTTAGCTCCTCAGCCCTCGGCGCAAACCAAATCTCTGGGAGGGGTTTCGGTCCAAAACGAGCCACCTCCTCCAGGTCCGACAGAGCCAGCACAACTGCCACTCACATTTTCCATCGCCAGCGGAAACCAGTTTCAGCCCCACTGCGTGTCCCCAACTCCTGTCTCTCCCACCAGCCGGATTCAGAACCCAGTGGCTTTCCTCAGCTCCGTCCTGCCTTCTCTCCCTGCCATCCCACCCACCAATGCCATGGGGCTGCCTAGAAGCGCACCATCCGTGTAAGTGTCATTGAGGTTTCTTGATGTAAAAGATGTCATTTAAGAATGGACCCATATAAGAGTAGCTTGGTCTGGGACAGGACTTTCATTTAGTGAATTCCTACATAATCCAATCTCTTAGACACAAAATGGATATTGAACACCTTAGGACAAAAGGACACGATTACTTTAAATAATGTTTTTATAAGTTAAATACTGAAAACACCTCGACACACAGATTTTCTGGGCAGTGCTCAAGGTTTGCTCGCAAGATGCACTCCGTAAGTGCCTGATGGCTCCTGGCTCTGGTTGCCATGCCAACCACTCTGGTTTCTAGGCCTCTGTACCCTGGCCAGTGCTTTTCATGAGTGATTTAGGTGTGAATTTATTTTACAGGCCACCCCAGGGACTAATGAAGAAACATATAAAGTCTTCCCAACCAGTGAATGACGATTACATTCGTGAAACTAAGAATGCAGTGATTCTAGACTTGGGGAAAAAAATGAATTGCAGTGATGTCAGATCAAACCAGCAGGTAAGATTGTTGGGTTCAGACAGTTTACTGGAATTTCTTTGTAAGGAATGTAAGTTTGCTTAATTCAGTCCTTGGATGCTCAGGTCACCTGACCTTGGTGAAGCTGACACTGCAGTTTTGGAAGGCAAAGCACAGACTGTCCATGGTTCACGTAGGAAACTCGTCCACATGGATCCACAGTTCTTGATTTAGCCCGGTAGTTAATTCAGTTTACTTGTCTACGTGTGTTTACCTAGAATAGTGTATGTTAAGGAGAGAGACTAGATAGTCTGTTTTCCATTCCAACAATCCTCAACTCAGTATTGGCAAACACTGTCACATCTTTGAGACATTTCAATATCTGAGCCTTGAGATGACCTAGACTTTAAGGAACTCTGGGGTTCCAAGCCATCCTTGATCTGGCTGCTTCAATCTAATGTGCTTGGGGGTTTGCTCACCAGTTCCTCTCCATCTTTACAGTAGGTTGAAGCACGTGAAATAGCCATTAGCCAATATCCTGTGTTTCAACCTGTACAACTCCCTGCTTTCTAGTAAGTGTTTACACGGAAGGAGAAAAAGGAAAGTCATCTGTAGGCATCACATAAAAGAAAGACTAAGTATTTTATTGGAGCCATTTATTTTTGCTTTTTGTAAGGTGGTTATTTTTTAAATGCAGATTTACATTTTAATAATCTAACTCTTGGTTTATTTCCCCAGGTGGGAACTGATAAAATCTATTTTAAGTATAACATAAAATTTCAGTGAAAACTATATACCAAATATTGTGGGATTTGTGACATAAGTGACCCCTGGAAACAAGGCTCCAGACTCCCCTGACCATATGCTGTTTTCCTTCATGTTTCTATCTCTCACTTCCAGTGGAGCCACTGATATACAGTATTTTACTATTGTGTTATATGTTGGACAATTTTTACTGAGTGGATTCTCTTGAAAGTAATGCTTAAAATGCTTAAAATAATAATGCTTAAAACAGCTTAAAATGCTTTTTAAAATTGACTTTAAATTATTGACTTGAAGCAGGATATTTAAGCTTGCCATAATTGAGTACACTTTTCATGTATTATCTCGTCAAATTACATATATTTCTGGGAGGCAAACACCAACGTAACTATTCTTCTCTTCCATCTTCTAGATAGAGAAACTGAAGCACAGTTGTCAAACTGTCAGTGGTAGAATGAGAACCAGAGCCCTGGTCTCCAGGACACTTTCACATTTTCCCTGAAACTCTGCAGCCTTTTTGCAGTTTTACGACAAATACCTCCAAGCCCCATAAACGTTGCTCTGTCTAGCACAGATTTGTTTTCCTATAATACTGTCATCACAGTTGTGCTTGTTAATCCTTCTAAGTGTCATTGAAATCAGAGCTGTGTTCAGCCTATGTCTTTAACAACTCAGACAGGGAGCAATTAGAACCCTGTAAAAATAATACCAGGTCAGCACACAGGCTGTTTGGTTTTACTTTTATGGTTACTCTGTAGGTAGATCCATGTTAATCCATTGCCCCCACTCAGAGGAAAGTAGGGTTTTTCTCTTAATTACCTGAAATGTGAGTACATATAAACATGAACTTCCATGAGTGGAGTGCCATAAACCCAGCAGAACTCTTTATTAAACCTCCGTCATGAATTATCTTCAGGGCTAACAGCAGGAACTTGGAGTCTCAAAAAGCATCTCAATCCTCTCCATATTTCAGTGAAAACTATATACCAAATATCTGTGACACATCCGTGTTCTTCTGACAATTATTATTCTGAGTGTTATTATGGTATATTAATTACAGAATTGATCTTACACAGCATTCTAGGCCAGGGATCATGAAAGCCAAGCTGCATAAATGCAATTCAGGAAACTAAGAAGCTGTGTGAGATGGAATGCTTGCATTAGGTTGGTAGATGTTTATTCTGAGAAAGTTTTGAGGAATAAATGATGACCATATTATAATATTGCTTTGTCCATTGCTGCCTTGGGAAATGACAGTGAAAAAGTCATGAAGCACTGTCTAAATGTATTGTGGCCCATTGAGGAAGTTAAGAAGAAGAAAATTTGCTGAGAAAAAGTGGAGAACAATCATAAAGAAACATGTGTATTGACAGCCACCTCCACCTGCATTTTGGGGACACAGGGGTCAAAGTGATCTGTTTTCTTACTCCCATATTAGCCTGCACATACAAGGGGGAAGCAAATGATTCCTTCTGAAGAGTATGCATTTGTTTTGTTTTATCTTGCTTTGACCACTTTTAGGTCCAGAAAGCTGGACTCTCTTGCCCTATGTTATTCCTAAGCAGATGAAGAATAGTAAACGTTCTAAAGCATTTCCATGTTATGTTGAGCATGAACGTAAACCAAAGGTCCTTGAACAATTAATATTATTGACTATAAAAAATGTCCTCCCCAGAACTCAAACTTCTAAATTAATGCTTTAGAAATAGGGTTTCTTTGATGTATCTGCCACCTTGTATTTCTCTGCTGTAATACTTCAGCATTTATCCTCAAACTCATTTTATATAACATTTTCAATTAGCAACTAGCATTTGCTGGTTGATTCTTAGGACTTTGTGTGATACAAAGGTGTCATCCTTTCAGATGCTCATACTTATTAAACTGTTTAGCTTTCTAAGCCGATAAAGATTTATAGATTTTAGGCTGCATCATTTCTTATTTTGAAGGGTATCATTCACCACCAGTGGATCTTCACTGGACATCACTTGGTTTAGGTTAGCAAGGTGAGTCTGAGAGGTCAGAGGAACCCAGGATCACACAAAATGTGATGGAACCTTCACAACCAACGATTTTAATGCATACATGACTCAGTATGACGTTCTGCTCCCAGTAAATAGTTGGTGACTGTTAATGTCTAAAGTACACACACACATATTTAATGTCTTATTTCAACTTTCCTCCTTGAACTCATTTCTCTGGAAACTTTCCCATCTCTTTATTCTGCTCCTCCCCCCCCCATTTTTTAAATGAAGGCTTCATTAAAACTGCCTGTGGTTCCCAGATACTACCCTATATGACAGAGGGGGGAAAAAATAAGTACCTAATTCTAGCTCTGCCTTTTTTCCCTCTAATCTCCTTCTTCTCTAAACTGCTTAGTCATTTCTTCTATTTAAATCTTACCTCTTTCATCTCTGACCATGAATTCTTTATGAAAATTCTCTCTTGAGGGCAAACAGTCTTGCGATCTGTTCCTTTTCTAATGAGAATTCAACGTAGTCATTGGCCTTATGTCGCTCACTGTGGGCACTGTAGGACCCTGGGTGCTGGAATAGTGAAGTGTCCCCATGTCACCTGCTGTGGGCCCACCCAGGATGCACCAGTCACAAGCTCCCTGGGAGCGGGACTGGCAGGGGGTGGGACGGGGTCTTGTTCATTGCTGCACCCCTGCTGTATCTGGCCCAGAGTAGGTGCTCAGGGAATATCTGCTGAATTAACTCACAACTTTGGGATTTACATTAATTTCAGATAGGATAACCAAACTTTTGACCAAAGGGAAAGTTTTGGATTTGTTGCATCTGTATGGAAAATATCTCACTTAACTATAGAGATTCTGATTATACCTAATTATAGACACTATCTACTATGATAACAATCTATTTTAATCAACTGACTAAAAAGATGAAAGCCTTTTTAAAAAAACACACTGAAATTAAGCAAAACTCTGGTGTTAACTGAACATTTAAGTATAAAATAAATCTGTGAACCATTTAGTAATTATTTATTCTTAAAGACAAAATCTGGATTTAAAGTATTTTTATGCAACCTCCTTGAAGGTAGAGTGTGTGTTTTATAGAATGCCGTGTCCCCAGTGCCTACTATAGTATTCTAAGAATTTGGCAGCAGGGACGGGGGTAAGCCATGAAGCCTGGTTATTTCTATTGAAGGAAGCATGTAGTATTGGATAAATCATAAAAGAAGACATCCTCTGTGTAGGTTAACCTCCAAGTTAGTCTAGGAATCTCTTATCTGCTGTCCATACTGTGGCTCACCCAGGAACAAAAGGAGAATACTTTCTCTAACACATAAAACTTCTTTTAGTGAACACTGTACCCAGAGTTGGTTGGGAACCCTTTGGGCAGGCTCTTCCAGCTGGTTTGATCCTATCTGATTATTTGCCCCTGAAGCCCAGACTCAGACCCAGAGTAGAGGAAGCCAGCAGCACGCTCAGGGCAGTGAGTGCCAGATCATGGCCCACGTTTTGGAAATTTGGAAACTTGGCAATGCCGTATCTGACTGGGTTGTGTCATTACACTGTGGTTCTTAGCAGGAGGAAGGCACTCTCCACCACTCTGACAATCTGAAGAAAACTTTTGCAGATGTGTCCCGGAAACCAAATGCCTCAAGTTGTCAAACTATCAGCCTTAAGAGGATTATCTTTAGAGAAAAAAAAAAAAAAAAGAATTATGTTTTCAAGTGGCATACTCTTCTGATGTAATTTTTTTAGCTTTTCATTTTCTTTCGTAGAGCAACTGAAATTCTATGCAATTCATTTTCACTTAAGGTCTTTAACATAAGCCTGGAAAGGATGGGCCATATGTCTTTGACTTGCTTGCCATACAGACCAGATTTACACAGAAAAATATTCTCTCCTTTGAGCACAGACATCACCTACAAGCAGCTGACGCAGAAACTCCTACTTTTACTCACAAAGGGGACAAGGCAAGGGAAAATGGAGAACACAGCCCAAATCCAGTTCTGGAAATTCAAAGTGTACAGCCGCTGACAGTGGATCAGTAGTACAACCTTTGTGCAGAACAGTGCAGAAAGCACATTCAAATTTAACTTAAACACACTGCTTGTTTGCAAATGTCCTTACAAAATCTGAATCCCATCAGTCACAACTTGGCATGACAACCTTGATTTATGTATAAGAGGATTAGTTATCCTTGGAATAACCAACTCTTAGTTGCAAAACACTACCAAAAAAAAAAAAAAAAAGAATTCCTGCTCTGGGGATGGTGTGCATCTTTGTAAACATCTCGGTTGTAAAGATTCACTGCTTTAGAAACAGGTCACATACCCCTTGCCACACAGTTACATGGGTTTCCTTGTTCCTGAGGTTCAACTTCCCAAATATTTTATGAAATCTTTCATGGAAACTCCTTTACCTACAGTACCCTTATTTTGTTGTGCATCTGTAACTTATACATTATACCATATAACTGGTACCTTCAACAACTGTATCTTAAAAGCAATTTTATTTTTTTCTCCCTTTATCCCTTTAAATTTATCTAGTGGGGCTAATCCTTCCCCTGGCAATCTCAAATGTGAGGTAATCTCAAAACCATTTTGACCCATTTTAGTTCATATAAGGTTCTACATTTACTTTGTTGCAAAATACAACCTTGATCGAGTAATACAAAATGACCAGTCCTTGTGGTAACAAACACCCCAATCTTTATTCAAAAATAAGATCCCACACACAAAGGCCCCCATCCACACCTCACACCGCACACCCCAGGGACCTCTACAAATGGGAAATCTAAAGCCAGGAAGGAAGTGTGGCCAGCTTCTCTCTTTTTCACTCCCTCCTCCCCTGCTTCACTAACTGCTGTTCCCAACTCCTTCCTTTCCCAGCCACAGAGGGACAAAAGCTGACTCCACACTGGCTCTGTCTCATATGTGGCCCATATGTGTATGACAGGAACCATCACAAGTCCTCTGACCTGACACAATGCAGGAGTGTGGGCCACTGAAAGCAACCTTCAGCTTGCCCACCAACAAAAACCCTCCTTGCTCCTCACTCTACATTTCTTAGGCAGGAGTCAGATACCAATCCACTGGAGGAACACAATAAACACTACAAATGGGTCTATTTAATCTCTCTCAACAAACTGGAGGTGAAAGGCAGGTACTCTGGGGGTAGAGGTGGAGGTGGAGGTGGGACACTCACAGATATTAATAGCTCTTTCCAAAGTCTTCTCACTGGATTTTCTCCCTCCTGACTCTTTCGTATCTCTGATGAAGGTGAAGAATATCAATCATCTAACCTGTCCTTAAGCACCTGCTTTGAAATTTCTGGAGGATACTTTGTCTCCCAACTCACTTCTTTTTTGATATCTAACTCATCTTGGTGCCTCAGTAGAATACAACTGTATCCTCAGTACATAGTTACAAATGGTATATTTTAGATAACTCATTGAGTGTTCTGTTTTCATCACCTCCCAACCTGTAGTACTGGTAGAATAGTAAATATGTAACCAATATGTGTACATTTATAGAAAAACAAAACCTGCATATTTTCATCATATTGCTTCCATAGTTCCTTTGGTTAAATCAATTCAAACATTTATAAATTCCATAAAATCAGGTCCCAACTTGGTAAAATCAAGTTCCTAAAAATAGCTGTTTGGAATACATGGAGACAATGTGTTATCTGTATTCTCAGGCAAGTGCTCAAAAGCCTTAGGTATCACCCATTTGTTCCTCAAGTATAGATATAATCATAACTTACCACAATGTACAGTAATACTTGTTTGGAAAAATTAGATCATACTTTCAATATAGAATTTCAGGAATTCATTTCTCCCCCCCCTCATAATAACTCTGACAATGTAATTAGCCAGGAACTTACCAGCCCTCACCCATCATGCAGTAGGATAAGCTGCAGAGAAGGTTCTTTAGCTTGGAGCAAGGACTCCACTAAAATAGTGGCTAGAGGCGGTATGGAATGGATTGGGAATTTGGGGACTTAAATGAAACAAGATGAGAAGCCATAAGAAGCTAAGACCCCTTGCCACCCTCACAAAAAGCCTGGGTTATCCTGAACTCCAGGATCTGTGTGTGAGGTTTGCAAACTATATGAATTATGCTTTTGACTATTATTTTTAAAATAATAAAGCTATTTAGCACCTACCTCATATAGTAAGAGAATAAAATGACTCATTGGTTTTACTCCTAAGCATCCAAAAAATAAACAAATTTGTTAAAGGGAAAAATAATACCCATTTAGGAGCATGAATGCAATTCAACAAGGAAGAAAAATATATTCCTTATGGGATTTTAAATTGTCAAGACTAGGAAACATTTCAAATTTGTGGGATTAGTTAATGTATTTATGGAAAATATACTCGCTGTATAGTATTAGGTTGAATAACTTGAAATTGCTGATATTTTTACCTCTTTTAACCCTCAAAAATGGCAATTTCATATAGTTGAAACTAATAGGTAGACAGATGGAAGCTTTAAGTATTAACTTTAAAAAAAAAAAAACAACCCAAAATGTAGAAAATAGTCTTAATACTTTTAAACTAAATTGGGTTTCCAATTAGAAGTGAACAATCTTTTACTTTAATTAGTTTGTTTAACTGATTAAAAATTAATACATTTCACTGGAGATTAATCATTTTTCTACCCTGAAAGAGCTGTAGATGTATTTTGTTTACCCAGTCTGAGATGAGGCTGAGAGGGAAGATTTAAAATTGGTTCTAAGAAATTAAAACCAAGAAACATTTGGTGTCCGTGTTTCCTAAGTTCCAATTCTGCACAAATTCAGGCGATGATATGTATAAGACAATAGCTAGAGGACACGAATTATGTGATTTAATAGCTTGAGAACATATCTCATGAGTCCTGAACTCAATTACTCTGCCTATGACTAGGGGGCAAATCAGCCATGTGCTCCCAAATTCCACTTCAGGGGCATCCTAGAACCATCTCCATGGGGCCTACCTAAATCATAAAATTATGGTTAACTAGAGTCACAAGTTTAACCAAAGGGCTCACCCTCACCCCAAGCACATGGCTCCAGATTCCTCAAAGATACAGTAGTGTTGGAACAAGTGATGGCTCCCATGTCATTCATGTATTCTTTCATTCTTCAGATACTCATGGAGCACCTGCCATGTAGCAGGCACTCACTATTCCATATATGGTTGATATAGTGGGATGCAAGACAGACAAGAGCTCTGTTTTTCTGATGCTAACATTCTAAGGCTTAGATATATACAATCATTCAATCAATATAAAAACAAGAAAAATACTAGATAGCAGTCCATGCTCTGTAGAGAATTAGAATTGGGAGTTACTTTAGATGAAGTGGCCTGGGAAAGTTGCTTTAGGGAGGTGACATTTAAGCTTGATAGAATAGGGCAGGATAGGGAATCAGAGGAATCCAGGATAAGTCCTAGATTTAGGTTAACTTGGTGCGCTCAAAGTGTGGTCTTAGACCTGTGCCAGTCTGCAAGCTGTCATCTCTCCACCTTGAGATAAGTATGGAAATTGAAGGTAACCATTAAGAAGTTTCTAGAGCATTTGACAGAGAAATTTTATGTCTACTGAATATAATAATTCTGCATGCTTTTTCTATTTTATTTTTCTAGTAATTCATTTTTATTTTATTTTTCTAGTAATTCATTTTTATTTTATTTTACAAGAGTACAGGTTGAAAAAATCTATTTTTAAAATCTGGTTTTCACCATAGGTAATGTGAGAAACACCAGCTTAACCACTTAACCAAATGGATGAAGAGTGGTGCCAGTTCCAAAGATGGGGAAGAGCAGGGTAGGAGTATCTTCCCTGGGGGACAGAAATCAAGTGCATGTTGTTTGGACCATGCTAAGCTGGTCCATGGGTGCACCCATGAGGCACCCAAGCCATGACAGAGAGTATACTGGTGGGTATATGACTCTCATGATGTAGAGTAGATCATTGGGTATATGAGTTCTGGGGAGAGACCAGGCTGAGACACATGGATTTGGAGTCATCAGCATACAGAAGGTATCTGAAGCTGTGAGACTAGATGAGGTAACCTAGAGCAGAGGAGGAAGAGCTAGTAAAGGAGACTGATAAGGACCAGCTAGGGGAAGAGAAGGAAAACCAGTAGGGTGTCATGGATACCAACAGAAAAAAAATGTTTCAAAAAGGATAAAGTAGCCATCTGTGTTTAATGCTATTGAGAGGTCAGGTAAGGTAAGAACAGATAAGTGACAACTTATCTGTGGATCTGGCAAATGTGAAGACCCTGACAGCAGCAATCTCAGTGGAACTGTAGGAACACGAGTCTAATTGGAGTATGCTAGTGAGAGAACAGGCGACAAGGAAATGAGGCTATAACAATAGAAAATTATTTCAAATAGCTTCGCCGTGAGGGCAGCAGAGACACAGTGTAGGCAGACATGGGGTCAAGGGAGATTTATTCAAGACGAGTTTTCCTCAAGTATGCAGATGGGAATGTCTAGTAGAGACAGGAAGCTGGTGATGCAGGCATGTATCAGAATGCAGTTCAGAATAATTTTGCCAAAATACCACAAAGGCAGCTCTACATATTGAAATGGACACTATTAGTAGCTACAAAAATTATATTCCATCTTCATTCCATTCCCTACAATATTCTACCGGGGCTCCACGCTGAAGGTGAGGAATCAGGGTTCACTAGGACAGTTTGGGATTGTAGTAGAAATACAAATCTCCTTCAGTGCTCCACGATGAGGAACTGGAAATGGAACACGCCTGGTTTACTGAGGTTCCACAATGTAAATCTAACATTCGAATCTTAAAAAGTTTCGTCCTCACATTATATTGATGAACACATTCTTCCTCACCCACAGAAATTGAAATTAAAACATGTTTGCCATTTTGACAGGAGTACAAAATTTCAAGCTTTGAGCAGAGGCTGATGAATGAAATAGAGTTTCGCTTGGAACGCACCCCTGTTGATGAATCAGATGATGAAATCCAACATGATGAGATCCCCACGGGCAAGTGTATTGCTCCCATCTTTGACAAAAGACTCAAGCACTTCCGGGTCACCGAAGGCTCTCCAGTGACATTCACCTGCAAAATTGTTGGGATACCTGTCCCAAAGGTAGGGGAAGATGACCAGCCAGTTGGCCAACCAACAGTGCAAAACTATAGACAGTGCCTTCAAGAAAGTCTTACCAGACTCTAGTGCAGTATCTACAGAGGGAATGAAAATCAATACCAGAAAATTAACAAAGCCCAGGTAATCTGACTAAAAAGATACAATCAGGAATAGAATCATTAAATAGCCTGGCAAAAACAAAATCAGATAACTTATGGGTAAGTTAAAATTTTTATAAAAGTTGAAAATAAATTTCTTAGTCATGATCCTCTATTTTGGGCTATTGATTCTCTCAACCATCAAACTCACCAAACTGATACTTTTCTTTCTATTTAACATCTGCTGAATATCTACAGCCTGCCTGTTGTACAAAGTGAGGTATATTTGTATTATTACTGTTAGGTTGGTAAATGCCGAAAATGTCACATCGTTATCACTGGCTGCTGAAAAATCTTATGAGTCACCAGACTTTCTGGCAGTCAGCTGAGAGAAGGATTTACACCCAGTATGTCTACAGCAGGGAATCTATCCACTCTACTTTCACAAACATTAACATGGCATTAGTATGTAAGATTAGGTAACCAGGAAATGTAGAGAAGGGCAGCTGCAACCAGTACTTTAACTCCCCTATCTTTGAAAGATCTCCTTGATACATGCAGAACTTAACTTGAAAACTATGTATACTTAAATTTTAGTCAGAGGAGAAATTTAACAATTTAGCAATTGAATCCTGGCCTCATTCCATTTGGTATAATAAACCATACTATCCTTTCAAGTAAGGTCAGCTATTCTAGGCCCTGAGATCTCGGACTTCAGGAGACTTGAGTTTGTAAAAGGATAATAGGAAAAGTTCCAGGCTCCCGGTTTTAATTATTTTGCCTCTGAAGACATGTCTGGTCCTTAGGGTGGCTTTTTAAGTAATTATAAATATAATAAAAATAATCAAAAGCTTTTTCTCAATCCTAAATTATACATAATTTCTTACTTAAATATTGTATATGTACAAGTGGAGGAGCATATTATACTGTCATTTGTAATATGTTTAAAAATTGTTTTCTAAGTGTTGTATAGGGGATGGGTTACTAGTTGTAGAGATGGCAATCGATCCTTGCCTTATCCTACTCCTTGTACCATTATCCTCTAAAGATGTACAGAACAGGGACTCCCCTTGTGGTCCAGTGGTTAAGACTCCACGCTCCCAATGCAGTGGGCACAGGGTCCATCCCTGATCAGGGAACTAAGATTGTGCATGCTGCATGGTGCAGCCAAAAAAAAAAAAAGATGTACAGAACAGTGTATATTCTCCTTGATTATTTTTCATTTCAGGTTTACTGGTTCAAAGATGGGAAGCAGATTTCAAAAAGAAATGAGCACTTCAAAATGAGGCGAGAAGGAGACGGGACATGTTCTCTGTATATTGACTCCACCACCGGCGATGACGACGGCAACTACACCATCATGGCGGCCAACCCCCAGGTAGAGACGCAGGGTTCCACGCTGTACTGCACTCTGAGGAAGGAGCGGTTCATGTCATTGTGAATAAACCTTTACAAGTGCAAGTTACTAAGGATTTCTGAGGAAAATGAATAAGGAGCATAGAGACTGTGTAACTAGAGCACAGTATCACAACAACTTACAAGACCACTTAGCCACTGATGGGTCACGCCACCCTTCAGCCTTTGTCAAAGGACATTAGTAGTATCTATTCACTAAGTATATGCCCCAGACCTATTGGAGTAAATCTTGTTTTGATCAACTCATTGACTCTTGAAGAGTCAACAAATTTTTCTATCAAAGAATGATTTGCGAGCTTCCCTGGTGGCGCAGTGGTTGAGGGTCCGCCTGCTGATGGCAGGGGATGCGGGTTTGTGCCCCGGTCCGGCAGGATCCCACATGCCGCGGAGAGGCTGGGCCCGTGAGCCATGGCCGCTGAGCCTGCGCATCTGGAGCCTGTGCTCTGCAACAGGAGAAGCCACAACAGTGAGAGGCCCGCATACCGGAAAAAAAAAAAAAAAGATTTGCCATTTTTTGTTCTTTAGAGAATAAGCAAATTACTTGTGAATATCCCTCACTCATAAAAAAAAAATTTTTTTTGGTAAAAGTTGGAAAGCCATAATCTTTCACTTTCCTTTTTTGAAGAGACCAAGACTTAAAATTCCCCTTAAAGATATGGCAGAATAAATATCTTCAACTACTATTAGAATAGGAGGTATAGAACTATAATTTCCACTCACCCACTCCTCCTATTAAAATGTTAGTTTTGAAGATAACTTCTATTGAGGAAAGTATAAAAATACTTGACCATGATCTCTGCATGTGCCTACAAATAATGCTAAGTGCACAAGAATTCAAATTTTTTTACATTTATGTCTGTTCATTTCTCAGCTTAAAAATGAAAGTCACAATATTCTTAAAAATCGTTTCCCCTGGAATATTAACAGTGATTTAAGGAGTTATATTGTTTTCATCCCCCCTCCAAAAAAAACTCATAATAGTTAGCCAAAAAGTTCATAATGTTCTGGTCCATAAGAATGTATATGTACTGAAAAAATGTAAAATTGTTTTTATTTATTTTAATCTCCTTCATTTTCTGTTTCTCAGGGGAGAATCAGCTGTTCTGGCCACTTGATGGTACAAGGTTTGCCCATTCGAAGTCGACTAACAGCTGCTGGTCAGCCTCACAGGTAAAGACAGTAAGAATCTCCCTTCTCTAGCCCCTCCCAAGCAGCCACCTACCACAATGATCACTGAAGTATCTGGTCTACAAATTGTCAACTAAAGTGTAGTCCTCCACCTGCAGCACCAGCATCACTTGGGAGCTTGTTGCAAATGCAGAATCCCAAGCCCCACCCAGACATACTGATCAGAATCTACATTTTAATAAGATCCCCAGGTAATTCATAAGTGCATTAAATTTGAGAAGCATTGGTCCACGGCACACTTTTAATGGTTCAAAAATTGCAACCATCAGTAGCACCTGTGCACATAATATATAAATCAGACTCTCTGAATTAAATTACCTTGTCTTTAAAAAACAGAAACTGTTAATGAGTATATGTATACTGATAAAAGACTTCTGTTGTTGTTATTGTCTCCAATATAACAGCTGTCTCCAACACAGCAACTGACTTTCCTACTCTCCAATTTTACTAATCACTAAGAAGAAAGAGCCTGGCTTTCTCTCGAGTCTTACGGTGCCACAAAGTCTTAGCAAAGCATTTCATAGTTGCTGACGTGGATGAATTACATTAGACTTACCAAAGGGACAAAAACAGTGACCCATGTTTCAGATACAGTATTTTACCACTGTTGCAACTCTACCTTCTTGTTCAGTTTTTTTTTTTTTCCTTCTTCAAGAACAGCTGTTACTGTGGTCAGTCTTAACCAGTTTAAGTTCATGATCATCTTTAATGGTCTGACATAATTTATTAGCCAGGTTAAATTTTATTACTCAGAGACAGAGGGATTGCAGCTGCCTTGTTCTGGGTGATAAACAGGACTTCTCTTTTGGCTCTTATTTGAGGTTCAGATTGAATACTGATTTCTTTATTCTGAAACTTCTGAACAACTGGTCAAACCCAAGGCAAGGGGAGCTGAGTCACTGAACCCAGAATGACTTCAGAGGAAAAGAAGCTAAAGCCTGTTTATTTAATTACAGATCTCACAAGATAACCCTACAGTGGGTGAGATAGCTAGTACTTTGCTTTTTACATCAGCTCCACACTATTATTTATTATCCCTTCATGGTCCAGCCACCCCCACCCCCCAAAAAAATCTTTCTCCAGGCCCGAGAGCCATGCCTAAATGTCTATACTGTCATAAGTTTTGAAGTGGTTTCTATGCGTAATGCCTGAACATGCTTGCTGTTTTAGAGTAAGGTCCCGAGCGCAAGAAAGAGACAAAGAGCCCCTACAGGAACGATTTTTCCGACCACATTTCCTGCAGGCTCCTGGGGATATGGTAGCTCACGAGGGGCGCCTCTGTCGCCTGGACTGTAAGGTAGACTCTAGTACACCATTCTTGGTTCCAAATCTGTTCATATTTTGTACTTGTTTGTTTGTATGCACCTATTTTTGTTTGTATTTGTTTTATGGTTGTTGTTTTTTCGGGGAAAGGGGACTGAGGAACAGAGACAGAGAGAGAAAGAGAGAGAGAGAGAGAGAGAGAGCGCACTTTTTCCCCCACAAGTTTCTTTTGGAGCATTTAATACCAGACAAAAGTATTTCATAAAATCTTTAAGTGTTTATATCTTAATAAAAGTTACACTGATACTGTACCAAGTTAACTCTACGCTTGTAAAGACAACCAAAGAGGTGATGTAATTCAGACATTTTCCATATGGTACCTGGAAAGTCTTTATTACTATAAAGGCATAAGGATGATTTCTGCAACCTTGAAGTGAACTGCTGGGAGGTACAGCCTTTGAAAAAACTAGTCATGAAAAGATGGCTCCAAGGCAGTTTATGAAAACAGAAGCTGGTTTCTCATACTACTCAACATCCATCACCTTTAGCTAGTCTACATTCTAACTCTTCCACCAGAAACTAGGTTCAGTTGAACAGTATGAATATTTCTCAGTATGAACAGTAACTTAAGTCACCCCTTCTGTCCGAACGACGTAGAATGCTATGGAGATTTGGACATGAATTAGTAAAGGCTTAAGGTTACGCGTTTATAGAATCCACTTCTCTAGGTGGTTCTTGCTCTCTCATTAGTTACCTAAATAATATTTGGGATTAACTTCTTCCACCCTAAAGCCTAAAAGTAACCCATGACTGGGTCCCACCCCCAAAGGTTCTGATTTAATATAGTAGGTGGGCATCAGGATTGTCAAATACTCCTCATGTGATTATGACACACAGTCAGCTTTGAGAACACTGGTTTAATGTCTGTGCCTTTCTTGGCTACCTGTTGCTTATTAGGTGTGTAAGCAATATCTCTGAAACTGATCCCACAGGCCTATTTCATCTATTTAGCTTTTTAATTCTTACTCATTCTAATCTAGAATATAATCATGACCCGAATTGGGGTCCAAATACTATACGGTTTAAATGCATGAGGCCACCCATATAGACCCCTCTTGTCCCTATGCTCCTGAGGAGAGGTTTCTCAGCACTGACGCTCCGTTGCTTTCGATGTGGTGCCAGACAAGGATGAAGAATTCAGCCACCAAATAAATCTGTCTGTCATCGATCTGTCATTTGCCTCGTCTGTCCTGTTGCTTATTAGGTGAGTGGCTTGCCGCCTCCGGAGCTGACGTGGCTGCTCAACGGCCAGCCTGTGCTCCCTGACACCTCCCACAAGATGCTGATCAGGGAGACTGGAGTCCACTCTTTGCTCATTGACCCGCTCACTCAGCGTGACGCAGGGACCTACACCTGTGTTGCTACCAACAAAACCGGGCAGAATTCCTTTAGTCTGGACCTCACTGTAGTAGGTAAGGTTTGCTGCTGGGACCCCTAAACGTAACTCCCTCCAAGGTGATTACGGAAACATGCAGAGCCTCTAATGTAATCCCTTACTCCTTTGTCCCATGGAGTCTCATCTTAGTTTCTCCTTCACTGTAATGAGGGCCATGTTTCCTACGTTGCTTTCGAAAACATATCAGTAAGCTAAAAACATAATATGGTACTTTGTGTATATCATGCTTGCAATAAATGGTAGTCATTGTAATTACTAATTGACTATCACTAAATTCAGGTCACTTGCCCTATAGCCCATCACTCCTGGAACACTCCAGGGTCTCCCCCCACCCCAAGCTTCCATGCCTTAGCAACCGTGGTCCCTCTACGTGGAATGCCCTTCTTTGCCTAGCAACCTCCTACTCATTCTCTAAGACTTAATTCAAATGTCACCACAAAGGCACAGTGGATCCACCAGGTTACATCCTCCTCTGTTTTCATAGCACTTAGTAAAGGAGAGACTCTTACAGCACTCATGGCTTCGGTGTAACTATTTCCCCTTTTGCCTCCCTGAAGACACCATGAGCCTCTGAGGTCAGAGATTCTGACCTTCTTCTGTGTATCTCTGACGTCTGAATCAGTGCCTGGAATGTGGAAGGCACTTGAATCTGTAACTACACAACCAAACCCTTACCTTATAAGATGATGTGAACAAAACACTGTCATGTCCACAGATAAGGACAACAAGTCACTGTCACCTGGGAGGTGTCAGCCCCTCGGGGCAGTAGTCCAGCCAGAATTAGATTTCAGAATGTATGAAATCTTGTGCTGGGCTTTCTCCCACTGTCTCCCTCGTATGGCCCCTGAAGGAAATCAGGGTAGCTTCAGAATGCTAATCCTCTCTCTCAGCTAGTAGCTGTCTCCTCAGTATATTTTTTTCTTTTTCTCATTGTTAATTCCATCTCACCAACAGAGTAGGAAAAGCTCATTCTGCGAGGATACGGTGATTGCGGCTTTTACTCTTTTCCCACTATTTTGCTATTGACTAGGGAACCCTGAGATACGAGGTAGCTTTGCCTTAATTGGTTCTGTGGGGGGGAAAAAGCCTCCTTAGGAAGCATAATTTGTGTGTGTGATTTTTTTTAAATAGTATACTTCTTTCAACTTTTCTGTAGCTATAAAATTTTTCAAGATAAAAAGTTGAGGGAAAATTAATATATCTTCTACAAAATAAACTCCTCTAAAAAAGAAAAAAGAGATATATTTAGTACATATAATATACTGTTTCTCAAAATTTACTGCTGAGCAATAAAAGAAACTCCCTCAATTCCACACCTACCATATGCATCCCATGTGTGTGACCCAAATCCTTAAGTGTAGTCCCTCATAAGATAGGCAGAGACAGTTTCCTCATTTCTTTTTTATCAAGCTTCATTTCTGGAGCTTTTATCAAGGCAGTGATCTTCACTAAGAGGCTTGAGAAGTGTTCTAAAGAAGAGGTAAAGGTGGGTGGGTGCTCACTCTGCTAGATTCCAGAACTGTAATTTGTTTGAGGCATGGACCCCAAGGCACTTACTCTTCAAACTAGCACTGCCCTTCTCTCATTCAGCCAAAGAAGTGAAGAAAGCACCTGTAATCCTGGAGAAACTGCAGAACAGCGGTGTTCCTGAAGGCCACCCAGTGAGACTGGAGTGCCGGGTGATAGGCATGCCTCCACCTGTGTTCTACTGGAAGAAAGACAATGAGACCATCCCCTTCACCAGAGAGAGGATCAGGTACAGGCTCCACCCTCGGTCAAGTCCACTGAGGCTTGTCAGGCCGCCCAAATAAGTCTGTAGCCTTTTGAATCTGGTTTCTTTCACTTGGCATAACGTATTTGTTTCACACGTTACTGTGCTTATCAAGAATTTATTCCTTTCTGTTGCTGAGGGGTAGCGCATTGTACAGATGTCCCACAGTTTTAAAACCTTAATTTTTAAGCTTAAAAAGGTATGAGGAATTTATAAAGATCGTGCCTATTTTTTGTCATGTGTCTTCAGACATACTAGCACACAGAAAACCTTTTGACAGTAAAAAGCTAAAATAAAATAAAGCAAAATAAAATATTAAAGTAATACTCCTTCTCCATCCATCACTACATGGCTGTTTTTTAAGTAACTTTAAGGATCCAGTTTCTTAAAGTGGGTGCTTTCCTTAATTTCCCCTAACCATCCTTCATTCTTTGCCATTTTGGTTTTATGCTACAAAGACAGCTTATGTACAGAAATTTCTACTGAGAATTATTTCTTCACAGTAAACTGAATTTGTCCTAGAAAATGTTGGGTTTTACAGAATTTGGGCATCTAAAAAAGTCTATGTACATATAGGTCAGGGTTTTTCTCTGGTAAAATATAAGCAAGAACAGAAAATATTCTTGAGTTAACACTTCAGTGTAAATTAATGAAAAGTGTCAAACACAGCCTGAAATTCTGATGTAATTATCTAGGATTGCAATATGCAGTCAAGGTTAGTTAAGAACTACTGACATAGAGAAAACAGAAGGAAGAAACATGCTGATTTGCTCCTGAAATGTATTAAGCTAAATGCTGCACATGCCCAGTTGGATATATTAAGAAATACCCCCTCCACCCTAAAGACTGCATACAAAAACTATTAGAACTGATAAACAAATTCAGCAAGGTAGCAGGATACAAGATTAACATACAGAAATCTGTTGCATTTCTTTACACTAACAATGAAATATCAGAAAGAGAAAGTAAAGAAAAACTTTACTTTAAAAGTAAAGAAAAAGAAAGTAAAAAAAAATCCATTTTAAAATTGTATCAAAAAAAATAAAGTACTTAGGAATAAACCTGACCAAGGAAGTGAAAGACTTATACACTGAGAACTATAAACATTGATAAAGGAAACTGAAGATGCTACAAAGAAACGGAAAGATGTCCCATGCTCTTGGATATCCCAGCGTGGTATTGGCACAAAAACAGCCATATGGATCAATGGAACAGAATACAGAGCCCATAAATAAACCTACACACCTAGAGCCAATTAATCTTCGACAAAGGAGGCAAGAATATACAATGGAGAAAAGACAGTCTCTTTAGTAAGTGGTGTTGGGAAAGCTGGACAGCCGCATGTAAATCAATGAAGTTAGAACACTCGCTCACACCATACACAAAAATAAACTCAAAATGGATTAAAGACTTAAATATAAGACATGACACCATAAAATTCCTAGAAGAGAACATAGGCAAAACATTCACTGATATAAATCATACCAATGTTTTCTTAGGTCAGTCTCCCAAGGCAACACTGTAGAAATAAAAGCAAAAATAAACAAATGGGACCTAATGAAACTTATAAGCTTTTGCAGAGCACAGGAAACCATAAACAAAATGAAATGAAAACATACAGAACGAGAGTAGATATTTGCAAACAATGTGACCAACAAGGGCTTAATTTCCAAAATATACAAACAGCTCATACAGCTCAATGTCAAAAAACAAACAACCCAATCAAAAACTGGGCAGAAGACCTAAATAAACATTTCTCCAAAGAACACAGCCAGATGCCAACAGGCACATGAAAAGATGCTCAACACTGCTAATTATTAAAGAAATTCAAATCAAAACTACAATGAGGTATATCACCTCACACCAGTCAGAATGGCCATCATCAAAAAGTCTAAAAATAATAAATGATGGAGAGGGTGTAGAGAAAAGGGAACCCTCCTACACTGTTGGTGAGAATGTAAATTGGTGCAGCCACTATGGAGAACAGTATGGAGGTTCCTTTAAAAACTAAAAATAGAGTTACCATATGATCCAGCAATCCCACTCCTGGGCATATATCCAGAAAAGACAAAAACTCTAATTCAAAAAGATACATGCACCCCAATGTCCACAGCGGCACTATTTACAATAGCCAAAACATGGAAGCAATTTGAGTGTCCATCAACAGATGAATGGATAAAGAAGTTGTGGTATATATATATATATATATACACATACATACACACACACATACATACATACACACAATGGAATATTACTCACCCATAAAAAAGAATGAAATAATGCCATTCACAGCAACATGGATGGACCTAGAGATTATCATACTAAGTGAAGTAAGTCAGACAGAGAAAGACAAATATATGATATCACTTATATGTGGAATCTAAAAAAATGATACAAATGAACTTATTTACAAAACAGAAATAGACCCACAGACATAGAAAACAAACTTAATGTTACCAAAGGGGAAAGGGTGGGGGGAGGGATAGATTAGGAGTTTAGGATTAACAGATACACACTACTATATATAAAATAGATAAACAACAAGGCCCTACTGTATAGCACAGGGAACTATATTCAGTATCTTGTAATAAATCTATAATGGAGAAGAATCTGAAAAAGTTATATGTATAACTGAATCACTTTGCTGTACACCAGAAACTAACACAGCATTGTAAATCAATGATACTTCAATTAGAAAGAAAGAAAGAAAGAAAGGGAGGGAGGGAGGGAGGAAGGAAGGAAGGAAGGAAGGAAGGAAGGAAGGAAGAAAGAAAGAAAGAAAGAAAGAAAAGAAAAGACCCCACCCACGCTAACAGTCCATCCATCCCTGGACTCTCGTTTTGGTCTACTTTCCCGTAGCTTTTTAACAAAGTTCTTATTGCAATGTCCAGCCTGGTTCGGAAAAGAGATATTCTCTGTACTTTGGTTGTGACAAGTGGGAGTCCTCCTGGGAGGAGAGTGGAGAGGGCAAGAACAGGTCTCAGCCATGGCTACCGACCCTCTTCTTTCCACCTTCAAGTTTGCCCCTGATGCTTGCTTCCAGCTGAATCCCCTTCCCTCCTGCTAGGGTCAGGGAGGCGAGGAGAAGCACTGCACTGCCTGACTTGCCCGAGTTTCCCGGAGCCCTAAACTCGACAAGGCCGCTTCTGCCCCCAGATACAATACGGATACATTCTTTCTTTTCTCCAGCATGCACCAGGACACAACTGGGTATGTCTGCCTCCTCATTCAGCCAGCCAAGAAATCAGACGCTGGATGGTACACATTGTCAGCCAAGAATGAAGCCGGCATCGTGTCATGCACTGCCAGGTTGGATATATATGGTAAGTATAATGGCATCGGTTGATCTGTGTGGACAGGCAGCTTAAAAATCTTTTTTGGGGGAATTCTCTGGTTGTCCAGTGGTTAGAACTTGGCGCTTTCACTGACTAGGCCCCGGTTCAGTCCCTGGTCAGGGAACTGAGATCCCGCAAGCTGCACGGCGTGGCCAAAAACATCTTTTTTCTTTTAGGATAGGTGTAGTATGTTTTCATAAATGAATTGGTTAGATATTTTAGTGCTTAAGAGATGGATTTTTTTAAGTCATTTTATCCTAGTCACCTCAGGCTTTTGTACACTCTTTCATTTCACTAGAAGGTTAATCTTCTTCCAAAAGAGGTTAATTTTTCTGTACTTCTAATACTAGGAATTACAACTACTTCAGAGTGTACCTGTGCTTGTACTTCTAATCACCCAGCATCTTCATGCCATCTCCTTGCTGCCATGGGTCACCCACTGGAACTCCCTCCCCACTGCCTGTTATTCCCCAGTCACACCACCACCCAGCAGAATTTTCCAGACCCTATTCATTTGTTAATTAATTCCACAAATATTTATTACTCCAATTTCACAATCAGACTAATAATAGAGAGCTGTCCTAATGATACTGATATCAGATGACGTTTGTACAGTGACTTGTAATTTATGAAATGGTACCCTAAGATCCTCCTAAACCCATGAGATTATAATAATTGTTGTTACCCTCATTTAAATGCAGAAGAAATGCAGAGACTCAGAGAGATTAAGTGACTACAGCTGGAATGCAAATCCAGGTTTTATATCGTTCCTGAGCCATGTTTCTAATTTTCAAAAACATTTAACAAATTAATCTTCATTAATGTATTTGTGTACTTTACTCCTCTCCTCTATAATTTTGACATTAACTGGTATTTTTGAAGACATATTCCTTAACCCAAAAGAGTAAACCTTTTTTTTCCCCCTCTTTTAAAAGAACTAATTTGTTGGCTTAATAAGTTTCTTATTCATTTCTGGTTTAACATGATTAACCAGAATAACAAATAAGAAACAGTAACTCTGCCTAGAACCTGAGGTCCCCGCTATTTATAGGTGCACCCGCCCCCCCCTTTTTCATTTTTTTGGCCGTGCCGCGCGCCATGCAGGATCTTAATTCCCCCACCAGGGATCTCGAACCCGTGCCCCCCTGCAGTGGAAGCGCGGGGTCTTAACCGCTGGACCGCCAGGTACCTCCTTTCTTTGGTACCATACAGGAGGGGTCTTGGCCTGCCATTTTCCCTAAGTCTAATATTTAGAGAAAATACATAGCTTTCTGGTTATCTTCCTTAATTCGTGGACTTGAAAAGAAATTCAGCCGTGAGGGACGCTGGCTCGAATGTACTTTCCCCTGGGAGGATCCGAGGAGAGACACGCCAGTGATATGTTTCTTAATCCAGGCTAATGCCTTACCATTTCACCCACTTCATCATGTCAGAAGGAAACAGGTCTCCAACTAAGAAACTCATACCAATAAGCCCTGAAACTGATGACTCTTGTCGCGTCCTGCTCATCCGCGGCGGAGTCCCCAGTTCAGTTAGTCCTGGCTCACCTCTCCCTGGCTCCCGTCCTGATTCCACAGCACTAACAACGCGAAGCGCTGAATCCTCAGCTGGGACCGGGGAGTGGGGCAAAGCATGGAGGATTGGGGGTGAAATCAATCCCGTACGGCCCCCCGCAATCACTTCCTACCTGTCCGAGGAACGGGGACAGTAGGCATCCGTCTCTCTCCGAAAAGAGGGCTTCTAATAGTACCTGCTATCAGGTTAAGGTGTCCGAGAGAGCCAGGAAAGGCTAAGGGGCGGAGGGCGGCGGGGAGGGACTTAAACCAGTTCATGGCTGCCTTACTGAGTGCCTGCTCTCTCGTGGAATCGCTGTAAGTTTTGTCCTGTTTTGTAGCTTTCAAATTTTGATTTTATCAATTCACTCAGAGGCATTTAGATCCCGAAAAACTTATTCAAAAGAATGAAATCAACAAAGGACCCGTTTATAAGTGGGAATGCTACGAGGGTCCATAGCTTCGGAGGACCCAGAGCGTCCATGTTTCCCACCTGGTGCTTCCCCTTCGCCACAGCAAGGTTCTTGGAAACCTCATGAGAAGACTGCTTGGTAATTTCTGAATCAGTGACAACACACAGGACTGAGCAGCTTGGATGGATATTTCATTCAGGCCATGTTCAAGCCTAAGGATCCTGGCTGCTAAAACCAGTGTCCCCTTTGGACAGTGCTTGGTGAACGTGGAGATTCTAATATTCCCTTCTGTCCCTGAACCATGGTTGATTGCACACAAGTTACTTTTCAGCCTTCTCGCTGTAGCTCATTAGAACCTGATTAGGGCGGTAGGTAGGTGATCGCTGATGAGTATGATCAGGTGTGCGGTCAGAGGTCTGGACTCATCTTTTGGCTTCCATTTCCATAGATTTCTCATCTCCACCTTCTGAGGTGCCCTGCCTTGAGAGCCTACCGCCCTCTCTACACCGCCCTCCACCCAGCAGACTCCATGCTAGGTCAGGAGAAAATTTTGAGAAATCACCCTAGTCACCCTCTGTTCCTTCTTACAGTCCCAGATTTTACTGGATTAGAATCATAGGGTTTGGAATTAGGGGATTAAAAAATCACCAGCCCAATTTCCCTCTTCCCGATAGGGAAGGAGAGATTTTATTTCTCTCTTTTACAAATGAGGCATTTCAGACCCAGATATATTTCAATGCTTTACTAAGATCCCACAGAAAGTGTTGGAATGAGCACAGAATGCACCCCTGACATGTACCTGCTAGACTGTATTCCTTTGATTGTAACACATTATTTGGTCCATTTTCCAGCTCAGTGGCACCACCAGATCCCACCACCCATGTCTGTCCGGCCCAGTGGCAGTCGCTACGGATCTCTCACCAGTAAAGGACTTGACATTTTCTCTGCTTTCTCCTCCATGGAAAGCACAATGGTGTATTCATGCTCTTCTCGGAGTGTAGTGGAGAGTGATGAACTTTAAGAATGTCTGGGTGCCTGCTGTGTAAGGGGGTGGACTGTGGAGGGGGAAGGAAGACCAGCCAGATAAGATGGTTTCCAAGCAACTGGATGTGAGTAAGTTCCCACACTGCCCGACCTGTGGCAAGGAGAGCTTTGAGTAAGTCAGCTGGGGACTCGTGCAGTCTCAGCTCAGGGAGAGATGGAGGGCTGTGCCTTTTAAGATTCCAACAAAATGAGAAGACAATACCGCCGAACCAAAGATGTCATGCAGCTGCCATCCACTGCTTTGGGAAAAAGCTAGCATGCTTCCCTGCCCCCTGCTGCGTTGGGGTATTCAGGCCCTCCTAGGAGCAATTAGGGGTCAGATGCTTGGGCTGAGAGGAGTTGGACAGTAGTGACCTTAGGAATCACTAACTCACTAAACAATGCAAAGGAAAAAGTCAGGGGGGTCTCCACCACCTTCCACTGATTGCATCCATAGCAGTAGTTTTGGTGGATTCATTAAATCAGCTTCTACTTAGCACTAGGAGTCTGTGCCATACAACTCACATACGTGGAGAAGCACTTTTGATTTGCTTACCCTGGGTGTACTGAGCCACATAATAAAGTGCCAAAATGTGATTGAGATACCAAAAAAAAAAAAAATCACTGGAACACTAAATATTGCACAGTGCACTTATTCTATAGCCAAAACAGGGACCCACCACCCTGCCTGTACCATTTTCTTTTGGATACAATGGTGAGTGGTTTTTTTCTGACTATATATATATATATATATATATATATATATATATATCCCTAGGCTCTAGAACTAAAGGGTTGTTAATAAACCAACCAGAAGGAAATCTTCTGCGGGGTCTTCTGCGGGGTCACTTTTAAAACTACAAGCTTCAGTTGCCACTTGCAAAAATATTCAGGCATCATCACCATCTGCCCAAAGAATATTGGCTCTCCCGCTTCTCCCCTTGCCCCAAAAGTCTGCAAGTATACGAAGCAGTGAGAAAGGAAGAAATGCAAACTAGAAGAGGAAGTGATGGGAGAGTGGTTTTTGTTTTTTCATTTGCCCGAGCAAAGCAGTGGCTGTAGAGGGAGAGGTCTTTAATAGTTGTGAACTGCTTTGAGATCATTAGTCAAATTGCATTTTCTATACAGAAAATATTATGCTAACTGAGAAAGTGGGAGGGACAGGGAATGTGCATCTTTATTCTAACCCACTAATTCAAAACCTGCCTCTCCACTTAAGGAATTTTTAGACTTAAGTTCACTGTGATATCCCAGTGCCTAGAAGAGTGCTTAGCACAAAGTAGACATTCAATAACTATTTGTTGGATGAATGAATCTTATATTAGAGAAATCTACAATGTATGCACCAGTCAAAAAATTGCACTAGGGATGGTCATCACGGCACGGTTTGCTCCAGATTCACCAGGGAAATGAATTGGAGTGTCTGTTACCAACTCCTTGTGCCCAAGTCCTTGGTGTTCTCTGAGCCAGACATCCTCAGCTGGCATCTTACTCAAGTGAACAAATAGTAATTGCTTAGAAAGGCTTGAAATTTTCTTCACTTCAAGGCAAGGATTTCCAGTATAAAAATAAATTCACTCACTCAAAAAATCATTTGTGTGTCCACTCTGTATAAGACGCTATGCTAGAGACTATGGGCCATACACAAATATGATAAGACACAGTCCCTGCCTGCAGAAAGCTTACAATCTAGTGGGGGAGGTAAGAAAAAAGGCATGTCAAGTGCTGCTTCTTTGGCCAAAAGTCTATTTTTTATTAAAGGGAAGTTTCTAGTACTCTTCATCCTGTATTTTTCCTGACTCTAAAATCATCTTAATTATTTTCAATCTTTATTTCTTAATTAAATAAAAAAACATAAGTTACATCCTTAAGAAATAAAGATTTCAGCCAATTATTTAGCAGAATTATTAGACTTTTTCCTTTCTTATGTATGCAGGAACAATAGTAAAAGTATAGGCAACTGTAATGAAACTGAATGCATTCCATACAGAATGCACCCCGTAAAATATTCTGTTTCTATATTGGCTTCTATTATCAAATCTCTTTATGACCAAAGAGCATTTTCTAACTCCAGGACTGCTTCTCCACAGTTGGACACCCAACCTCCTCATCACATCTATTAATGTAAACTCTAGACAGTCTCCTATGAGAGGATATTCTTCATCTCTCTATGTATTCGCTTTCTGAATATTTTTTTTTCTGAATCTTTTTTATCTGTTGTTTTAGTGTTCAACAGTGAACTATGATAAATATTACATTTGGCCACTAGATGGCACTGTCGAACCTAAAATATAACAAGCTTTAAAATTCCTCGAATTTGAACTTCCGGATTATGTTACAGGAAAGTTTCTCAACCTCAGCACTCTTGACATTTGGGGCTGGATAATTCGTTGTTGTGAGGGACTATCCTGCACGCTGGAGGATGTTTAGCAGCATCCTTGGCTTCTACGCACTGGATGCCAATAGCAGAGCCGCCCCTCCCCAAGTTGTGGCCACCGGAAATGTCCCCAGACATTGCCATATATTCCCCGGGAGGCAGGATCCCCTTTGTTGAGAACTACTGTGTTGAACAAATCCAAATTCTATTGGAATTCAATTACAACGAGGAATACTTATACAAGAAATTTTAGTTCTGCTGGATATGTGTGGACTCAACATATCCAAAATAAGATTCATCGTCTTCCCTTTCATAAACCATTCATCATCCTAGTTTAACGATTTCTATTAATGGCACCATCACAGTCCTAGTAATCCAAATAAAGAGTATCCAAATCATTTTTTGCTTCCTCTAATCAATTGACAAATCATGTTAACTCTAACTCGATTATTTCTTTTATATTCAGGCCTTCTTTCTGTCCCCCTGTGGTTCCCCAGTTCAGACTTTCATTACTCTCTTAATTTCCCTCAATTCTTCTGACTTCAACCATAATAAGAGACTTCTAATTGGTCTTCCTGCCTCTAGTCCTGCTTTTTCTCCCACTCAAATCTAGCTGAGATCTCAGCATCAGATCATTCTTCCTGAAGTACTGCTCCAATCATATCATTCCCCAATTTTCGAACCCCCAGTGGCTCCTTGGAGCCAACCCAGGCCAGCTGTTCTGTCCTGTGCTACTCAAGCCTTGCTTCAATATGATCCCAAAGCTTTTCATCCATTACTCAGAAAACACACCCAGTGCACCAGCAAAGTTAACACAGGCCTCAGCTTTCCAGCCACATGGCTCTTTTTTGCCTCCAGCTGGAAGGCTTTCTCCCCAATCCCCATCTACAGAAATCTTACCTGTTCCTTAAACATCTCAAATGCTACTTTACTGCCTCTATGAAATATTTTCTGACCCCCCCAGACCCCAATAAAATATAATTCTACTTTTTTTGAAATTTTATAGCAAATTTCTTGAGTCTGAAAAAAGAGAAGATGAATTTGTATAGTATTTTATATAAAACACAGCCTCTATATACCTGCCTGACTCTCCCCTTGCACTAGCCCAGTCTTGCCTGCACTAGATTTTAGCTATTTGTTAGTAAGGACTGTGTCAAAAGTTTGCCTTATACAGAGTAGGCACTCAATAAATATTTATTGACCTAAATTGGACTTTAAAAGTCTATGTAAGTCAGTATGTTTCCATATAAAATGAATTGAGTCTAGAGCAGTGGTTTTTAACCTTGGCACACTAGAATCTCCTGGGGAACTTTTAAAAATCCCAATAGCCATGCCACAACCCCAAATCACTGTCATAAGTTCTGGGGTTCTGGCATAGGCATCAGTATTTTTAAAGCTTCCCAGGTGATTCCAACGAGCAAGTGAGATTGAGAAGAATCATTTTATTACCATGATTTGATCACAGAACTTACCCTAAAAGGTCCGAAGGGCTGCAGATAGCATAGGCTGTAGCGTCGGCGTCAGTGAAGAATGTACTTCCTCCTTGTTGCACGTGCAGTGCATGTCTGGAAAGTAGAAATAAACATGCACTTTGGCCTTATTAGACCCTACTATTTTGCACTGCACTTGTTGGACATGCAGCATTCATGAAGCCCTTGGAGAAATCTCCAAAACTGCAAAAATGGCCCGGGAAAGAGGGAAAGTTGGTACAATCCTTCTGGCCCTTTTTTCAAAAAGCTATGCAGATCTCATAAGCACCCTTCTTTCCAAACAAGTGAAGGGCTTTTCATAACTTGGTTAGTCATGGAAATGGGGATCAGAGGGAAAATGGAGAAAGAAAATGCAGTATTAAAACCAAACCGCCGGACTTCCCTGGTGGCACAGTGCTTAAGAATATGCCTGCCAATGCAGGGACACGGGTTCAAGCCCTGGTCCAGGAAGATCCCACATGCCATGGAGCGACTAAGCCCGTGCGCCACAACTACTGAAGCTGGCGTGCCTAGAGCCCATGCTCCGCCACAAGAGAAGTCACCGCAATGAGAAGCCTGCACACCAAAACGAAGACCCAATGCAGCCAAAGATAAATAAATTAATTAATTAAAAAAAACCAAACCGCCAAGCAGCTCATAGAAGAAAGACTACTTCCTCCTTTTTTGTGTCTACATGTCCAAGCTACAGTGTCTGAGGTCCTTTCTGCTTCTATCCCCATTCCGTGTTTTTCTCTGAGATGCCCTGTGCCCCATGTTCTGTAACCCCCCATGCTGTAACCCATCCCCTCACCGCTTCCCCACAACCTGCCAACATGCCTCATGCTCCAAAATGACCAAACTCCTGTTCCATGCATCTTGGCTTAGGGGTCAGAAGAAAGCAGTCCAATTGAACAAATCCTGAATGCCTGAGAGTCTAACTTCACAGAGGAGCTGAGCTTTTAAAAGCAGTTGCTTCCTTACTTCCATCAACTTCTAATAGATGGAACTGCTGGCAAAAGGAAAAAAAAAAAAAAATCAGGCCGGGAGGGGAGGTCTAGAAAACTGAGTCAGACATCCAAGTTATTCTGGTTGATCACAGCCTCCTCCTGTCCTCTTCCTCCCTACACACTCCCAAAGAACCTTCCAAGCTGAGATCCTGGCCTGAGTCTGTTTGTATATGGGCTATTTATAAG